ACGGAATGTGTATGAAGAACTTGACAAATCGTTTAATTTGGAATTTTACGGGGGAATCAAGTTCCGAACTCGCTCCAAACATGAAAATATAAGCTCCAGTTCCAAAGCCGTTTGCGTTCAAATTGCTAATGGATTTTTTCTCTCGAAAGGTTCGACCCTCGATGATCGCATGGGTGTTTATTGATGGGGTGGAACGCTCCGGGGGTCCTTGAACATTAGCATAAGTTCCGTTTTCCTTTTATAAAAAGACAGAATAGAGGAATTCGCCCCGGCCGGGTGTAGAATATTCGGGTGGGTTTATAATTAAGGGAAATCTAAGGCACCTACACGGCCGAGGCGGCGCTGGGCTGTGGGCCGGTTCAATGACGTGTGTTGGCCGATAACCGCATTAGTAGCCGCAATCCCACAATGTAAAGAATGGGGATGTCGTAATTTATGTGGAGCCGGCTCTTGTCTCATTTTCTCTTCTTTTTTTTTCTTTCTTTTTTTCTTTTTGTCTGTAAATTGCCTATTTTCTCTCTTCTCCAGTCAATTTGAAAATGGAAGAACGAGTCGAAAAGTTCACCGATTTCCGAAATTATCCCGTTCCCCTGTTTACGTTGGCATAAATTACAACAGGACAAGGAGGCAAAACGTTTTAACGAAGGGTCGACCGACAACAATCCACCCTCCAGTTTATACATATAAATTAAAATTTCTTCTGAGAGACGAAGCATTACAACTAAGAGGGAAAACATTTCTTTTAGGTTTATTGCACTTAAAAAAAGTTAGTTTTTTTTAAAGATTTTTATCTTTAACTGTTTCTAATTGGGGAGTTCCTCATTGGGTCTTTTTTTTTTCTTTACTCATGCGTGTTGAGACCTTGAGATAGTTAACGTCCGGACTTATCCCCGAGAGTACTCTTCAGACGCCCAGTGTGCTCAAAGAGAACACCAGGAAGATTTTACATGCATGGACTTGTCACATACCTTGGCAAGCAAGGTGGTGCAATGCTAACTAAGTTCAAAGTGCCCTGAAAAGGGCACATCCATACACGTGCCTTGAAAAAGGGGTTTTGTTGTTTTTGGCACAGCTTTTCAGCCGTTCCTTTCACCACCCCCGGAGAGATAGAGAAGGCACTCGATACCCTCCAGCTAAAGTACAATTTGTTTGCAAACCACGACCTCCACGAGTCCAACCTCAATTAGTAGAGTCGCTTGGATACTCTATTCCCGTGGTTCATTTTCTTCATTTCATTCAGTTTTGGTGTAGAGGCCCCGAGGGGCCGAGACGGACCTCACTCTCCGCTTGTCCATTCAGAGTGGATGGGGCTGCATTAAGCACCAGACCGTGTACAGCTCGGAAAGAGTAACACCAAGTGGCTGAAATGCATCAGCCTGGGTCGTCCAATAGAGAAGGAAACTCTATCTCCCAGAGTATTGGGGCTCCTCCAGCTTAAGAACTACCGGATCCTCTCCGGCCGCGGTTTTGTTCAAAGTGGAGTGTCTACCAGAGGAACACTGCCTCTGGAAGGAAACCGATGGAACCCCCGAGCAACAGGTTCACACTAAGTTCTCGCCAGGAGCCTCGCCACTAAGCCACTACGAGTCCATTCCCATGTAGCAGGGTTTGGTCTTGGAACATTGTATTTCAGATGGTTATGCACCTTCCCCCATCTATGCAGACAGGATCTGGTACCCTAACCCTCGTGAGCCTCTGATGCAGCACTCGCCGTCCGCTGCGACCCGGAGGCCGACTTGAATCCAGCTTGTGCTTTAGAGAGGTTGCCACGCTCTCAAGGCTACACCATTATGTTGCGCCTGGATACCCCCTTAAATCCAAGGGTTCGGAGAACTCACAAGGAAGTATGCCGTACGACCTGGATTGAGAAAGGGAAGTAACCGAGGACACTAGGCTCACCTTTTCAGGTTGCACCCTCCGCCTAGGCCACACTGTAACACCAATTGTCACCATAGTCCCACATTTAATGGGGTATGGTCCTCATTGGGTCTGAGGTGATCAGTTGGCCGTATCTTATCATTATGGTCTATTTTCCCCCCGCAATCTTCAGTGCTATTTCTGTGTGAGGTCTCACCCAGAAGATGAAAAAGTGTCCACAAAAAAGTTTGCATTCACCGAAATAATCCTCTCATTTCCTATCGTTTTTGGCTGCTTTTCTTCGCTGTTTTTGTCTGAACGTACACGTTTCTATTTCTCGCCATCATCAATGGAATGGAAGTTTGCAAGAGTCCGGAAGCTCCGAAATAGTTGTAGTTTGGTCGATTCCTATAATTTTGATCTGCTTATCCACGCTCTTGAGGTCCTTCAGACGCGTTTCGCCATCATCACTGTTATGTCCCTTTTATAGTTTGTGAAAGGTATCTTAAGCGCATCTGTATTGGATTATGTCTGTTTTTTGTTTTTGTTTTTATAGTCTGTCTTCTTCCGGACCTGTAGTTTGGCCGTTTCGATACATAACATATTGTTTATTTTTGTATATAAAAGTAAGTAATAAAAAATGTAACAAGTAATAAAGTAGTCTTTGGCAGAACCGCCACTGTAGATAGCGAGAAACCGAAACGTTTGTTAGAACAAAACAGTTTATAAGCAAAAGAATATAAGCACACCAGGATGATAAGAAACGACCATTTTGGTCGTGTTTTACAGGTTCATTACCCCACAGATCAAAATCTTTTCCTTTCTAATAGGTCTTAATTAGAACAATAGGTCATAAAAGCGACATCCTTTGTGGAAGACGAGAGTGAGAAAAATCTTTACCTCCCCGATATATTTGATAGTCCTAAAACAACTGGGAATGATGCCGTCCAATTCGGACATTGTGAATAATCAATGAATCATTTTGTCAATCCTTATCAGGCGAAAAGAAGGACGTAATAAAAATATAGTTGTCATCTCCGAGAGATCTGTTGATTTTTTTTTCTTCGCTCGGATTCCTTCTGTTACCTATACTTTCACATTAGGAAAATGAATAAATTGGTTATGCCGCCTAGCCTAATAAGGCACTAGGAGAATCCTGTAAATCTACAAATTGGTGTGGAAATAGGATATTATGCTGGAATTGTATGTAACCGCCGATTCAGAGTGAGGTGAAGAAACGAGTCAGATATTAGAACAATAAAAGCCGGCGTCCCACAAGGGGGCATTCTCGGTCCCTCGATGCTTACTATTTATTTTACTATACATTGCATCATCATTACCACGTAAAAACCTTTTAACTCGAATTTTATCCTAGCAAATTTCAACATCCAAGAACACCCTGAATATCAAAGAAACCTGACTTAAAAGACAGCAACTACAGAAAAATTAGAAACAACTACATGCTTTAAAGGTCAGAAATCAGTTTTGACCGTCAACGCAATGCTGTAAGACGAATACAAGCCGGAGTCCCACAAGGGAGCATTCTTGGTCCCATTCTGTGTACGATTTACACTGCTGACTGTCCTATGCATCCCAACAATATCATTACCGCCAATGAGGACGAATTTGTCTTCTAACCAACCCTAATCCTATCCGAGCAAGCACCAACACCCATCAACACTTTGAGTTTATCAAATACGGTTCGAAAAGTGGAGTGCAAGACTGATTGAAAGCAGAAAAAAACACTCTTGTCCTCTACTGTACATCAACTACAAGGAGCTTCTGACATCCACTTCAAGTCAGATAGTTAGACATGTACCTAGAGGGCAGTTTGAGATGGGATCCCCACACATGACTTAAGAGATTGCAACTAATAAGAAAATGTTGGACAACTATAACCTTTTAGGTTCGAAATCACTTTGGAGCAAAAACTAGAATATCAGAGCAATACAATACGTTTCACAACGGAATACTCTTAGTCCTGCCTATTTATATTGCTGACTTCCCTATGCATCCCGACCAACATTCCCATACTGATGACACTGAGGTGTGAGAGTTGAGACTCTGTCTTCCAACCCGAACCTCCAACTTGCACGAGCTTATCAAAGACTGGTTCACAAAGTTTGTGAGACTGAACTCGAAAAGGGGAACTAACAACTTCCAATCAAGTCAGATACTTAGGACTTGGATCACCACTCAACACTTAAGATGCATCAACTTAACAGAAGAACTCGGAAACAAAGATTTTTATGACCGAAATCTGTTTTGACCGTCAAAATCAGGACATCAGACCAATACAAGCTGGCGTCCCACACGGGAGCATTCTTGGTCCAATCTTGTATTCCATTTCACTGCTGGCTTTCCTATACATCCCAACCCCATCATTCTATGATAGTTGAAAGTTCCATATTACGTTTTTAATTTATCTTGATCCTACTACCAAAGCTTTATCTACACTTACTCATCCTCTGGACGGGTGTGGTTCGCCTCAAACGACGATAGCCTTCAGACCTCACCCTTTAATTCCTCATATTGGGCGCCAGCGCTGGTTTCTCTTAATCTGTATGTATTTTTATATGTACAGACTACATTTTTTTAACTAGTTAGCTAAGAGGTTAACTTAAAACTCTTAAAATCAACTGGTAAAAATCTTTATCTCGTTGGAATGTCCATTGTAACAAAACTAAAAACCACTCATTGAAAGTGGCCCTGTGCAATTGTTAACCTACTTCTCAAAATTACAAGTTGACAAATGACAAGTTAACAATAACCATGATTCGAACGTAATGAAAAACCCCTCCACCCCAATCATAAGACCGCGAATATCAAAAGTCGACTTCCTTGCCGAATTGTCTTAATTATATGGAAGAATTTATGCGGTTGGTGAATGTCATCGAAGAGGCCAAGGGCGTCTCTGTGAATGCAATACCTTGGGTAGGTCAAGGGTAGTAAACGGAATTGCTTGCCATGTTCTACGTCTATTGTATAAACAAAAATCGAATTTGCATTTCTGCTCATGTAGGAAGTTGAAAAGTTCCCTCGACATGATTTGCTCGCGCGTCATTAAAAATTGTCCTGACCATATATGATATTTAATAACGTTTATTTTGTAAAATTTATATGTACTTTTTTTTTTATTTCAGACATGGCAAGAAAAAGAAAAGGGGACGCTTGTTGTTTACACCACGACGATGGGCGTGATTCGCGCCACATATCTCAGATGTTTAAAGGCACGCCATATATTGAGGACGAACATGATCAAGTATACAGAAAAGGACGTATTTATGTCAAAAAGCTTTCAAAACGAGCTTAAAGAAAGACTCGGGACGGATTCGGTCTCTTTACCGCAGATTTTTCTGGAAGGCAGCCATTTGGGGGCAAGTACAAAAACACATTTTTGACCAGATTTTTACAGCTTGGTCTTTAATATATATTTTTTATTTTAGGACGTTGAAGTTTTAGAAAAAATGAATGAAACGGGAGAGCTGAGAAGCATCCTTCAACCATATCGAGTAAGCAATTATTTACACTATTATATATTAATTATATGTCCTTTACTTACACGTTTTTCTTACTAATTTGATCATTAAAAATAATTATCTACTATTACTACTACTATCTACTAATAATTTAGTGGCAATAAATCACAAATTTAGTTCAAATATATGTTCATTGTAATATTAATATTTGAGAAAAAAAGATGAAGAATAGGCCATGGAAGGTTGGCACATGAAAACTTTGGGCTAAAGCTGTCTGTGCCAAGTATTAAGGGAAAGGTTGCTTGGTGCATTCCAACTAGGATAGGAGGTAGGGGACCGAGGAAGGAACTTTGACCCAGCAACCTTAAATTTTGGACTATACCTAGACAGCAGATGGAATCCGCACACTTAAGAAACAGCAACTTAACAGAAGGCTTGGGCAACTAGGAAGACTTCTAGGACCGAGATTTTGACCGTCGAAACTAAACTAACCTTATACTGCAAACTAACTAACTAACCAACTTTACTGCATTTTGGACTTATGGAACTATGGTGTTTCGCCAAGTATTCCAACATCCAATCCTTCCAATCAAAATTCATCAGCCATGAGCACAACGCCGCCAACTGCAGCCTTTGAGGTGTTGTTTCTCTCACCACTTCATATTTTCATCCAAGGAAAAGCCAGAACAGCTACCCACAGGCTCATAAATGGACAACCAATTGGAAGGCAGGCGATATAAATAAACAATGGAAACTGGGGAGGAGGGGTAGATGCCATATTAGGCATGACAATCGATGCCATACTCCAAAATACAGTTTTACTACAAAGTACTGATACCAGAACAGGAAGAGTGATCCAAAAGAACTCCTCTAATGGCAAATTCCTATTGGTACACTGTCGGCTCAAAAATGGATAAAGGAGTCCTCAGGATGAAACCAAAGACTGAATTTGCTTTAAACAGGTAATTTCGCTTCAGGTTTCTAGTCTGAAATCATAGCAACTGAACACAGTATGAAAGCCCTGGCAGACATCAGCGACACCAATGACCTGGCATTGGTCCCTGGGCATTCGAGACAATGAAAAGGTTGACATGTTGGCCAATGAGGGAGCCAATAGTGAATGTCTAGGTCTCAAACCCTTACTGTGGCCTAGCATCTTACCACAAAAGAGGATACATTCTACAATGAATTCTTAAGTGTTCAAAGTTTGGTGAAATAATACCCCCAGGGTGAGCCAAACAATGAGATTCATAGAAGGGCCATCTGCAAAACTTACAAAGGAATTACTGAAAGGCAACCATAACCGAACCAAGATTTTGGTTGGACTCCTGACAGGGCACCACCACCTAAGGAGGCACATGCACCGGATAGGAATACAGACAGAAGAAACACTGTGCAGATACAAAAAGAGGAGGAGAACGTAGAACTCATTTTATGCTTTTGTGAAGGTCTATGCAGATTTTTATAAGTAGGGGAGGAAAAGCCACATGCAAGATTCTACACTAAGGCTTTGGAGATTGATCAACAACTTGAAGCTATCCAGTGAGTTGTAAAAACAAGAGAAGTGCAATAGACCTACTCTGGCCGAGGTATGGCCTTGGGGCCGCCTCTTTCATCCCTATCCCAGACAAATTGTCAAAGCTCCAAACTAACCCCTCGATCCATCCTAACCCTACTGATCCAGCCCTCTCTACACATTCCTAGCCCCTTAATCCCTCACACTGTTATTAGTGCCAGCAATGGCTAGTACATAGGGTGGAGCAGCAGTGACTGTGGGAAAAAATGTTTTGTGATCATATTATACTAATATGTATAGGATACAAATAAAAAAAAGTATAAATAAAAAACTTAATATTAATATTAGAGAAAAATTGATTAAAAGGTCACAGGCCACATTAGGCCTAAACATGAGTCCTGTGCGTAGAGAAAGTTTGCATTGGTGTATCACAACTTAATTGAACAGAATCATTCCTTGCTCTACATAGAGAGCTAGTAGGGGTACCACCTGATATGATAATTGAGCTTTAAAAAGGAACAAGAATTTGTATCCCCTGTTCAGATTTTTGAAAGAAACTGTCCTATTTTATAGTATATAGTTGTTTTGTTTTTATTGAGATTAAATGTATTTATTAGCATGAATGTGTAGTGTCGAATGGCCAATGGTGGGACATTGAGTGATATTAGGTTAATTTAATTATACCACATACCTGAATCTTTTGAATGCCAGTATACCCTCAAAATTTGCCCATTTTAATAAAATTCATCAGTCTGGACGCCTTTAGGAAGAAAAAAAATATTGAAAGAGGAGTTAAACAAGGAAGTTTATTGAGACCTTTGTTGGTACTTTATATGAACAATTCGGTAGATGAGTTGGAAAGTTGTAAGACTATTATTACTGCAAATAATCCATTGGATCTGCAACAGAATACTGAAACTTGCCTGTGAACCTTGACAGTACAAAAATAATTGATAGGATAGGTGGTAGATTCAACGGAAAAGAGCATTTGGATCTATAAAAATCAGAATAATGAAGTGATAAATTTTTACATTTTTTACAATTATTTAAGTTCAATGTTGAGCCTTAAATTAAAGATTAGAGAGTAGCCTCTAGACTAAGCTTCTACTACTAAAATTGTCCTGAGCGAAAAGTGTGGGATTATTATTGATCTTGATATTTAAAGTAAATAAATCTCAGTGATTATATGGAATGAGATTCAGACCTGTAGGGATAGACTGAGGAAAAAGGCTGCATACATATATACAAACCAAACCGTTTAAAAATATCTACCAAAAAAGTTTTGTTGGTTGTAAAAACTAAAGGAGTGAAGTGTTGACTTTAAACTTTAACCTCTTCATAATTATAGAGACAAGAAAAATATTTTACATTTTGTAGCAGTTTTTCCTATATTGGCACCTTTTCGCTTAAAACATTTTGGACAAAGTTTCCTCTACCTTAATTATGTAAAAGATGCTTGAAACTATCATAAATTAACTAATAATAAATTCAATGTTTGACTAAGCATACATCTTCTTCTCAATCAATTTAAGAAAAAGGCCTGCACATCAATAGAAAAAGTGAATTATAACAATTAACAGGATCAACATTAACTGTTTTAATTTTTTTAAGTGTAATTTCAACAGAAATCAAGTTTTTTTTAAAGGTTGGAGGGTTGATTTCAAATAATAAAAATCCTTTCCTCCACTGCAACCTAAATAGATCTATATATTATAGCCATATCTTGGAAAGGGCACTTTTTCATATATGCCTAAGCACATTATTTGGTGCCTTTTAATGCCCCTCGTTTTGTGTGAGAATTGCCTTCGCAAAGTGGCATTATCATAACCATCATTATCATATTCATAAAAGATATGTGCCAGCATCTCCGATTCTTCCTGACAGAGTCGGTAGTTTCTGTATCTGCTCTGCCTACCTTCTTTAAATGATAGTTAAGAGAGCAGTAAGCGATAAAGAATCCTATAATTTTTCTCAAATCCTGCCTGCTGAGAGAGAGAGGAGTTCCTTCGCCTTCCTTTTTGAGAGACTGTCTCTCACCTTGCCTCATACCTGGGGTTTTGTTCAGTACATGAGTTTTTCTGTCTCAAGCTTTGTTTTCAGTTCCAACTTAAGCAAACACTCCGGTGCACCTATTTGCATTTTTGGTCCTACGGGTGAAAGAGCTGCCCCATTTGTGGCTTGTTCGTCAGCCTATTCCTTCTAAGCATCATTAGGGAATGCAGGAAATCCCATATGCATTTAGTTTCTTTATGGCTAAATGGCTGTCTGAGAGTAGGTAAATCTGTCCACCTTTCATATTTTTCTTTATTAACTCCTGTGCAGGGAATTGTATTACATGAACTTCATCTTGGAAAATTGTTGGGGTTAGTCCAAGGGGCTTCACTAGGGTGTAGTTCCCTACCTACTCCCTGTTCCATCTTGATTCCACGTGTATGCCATAATAGGACCACTTCCTGAAACATGTAGCTACCTTTCTTCCAAAGGTTTCTATTATCTATGACCACTTCAAAGGGTCTGTCAACGTTTATTTTTACTCTTGTCAGGCATCATGTCATCTCATTATTTTATTCTCTCCAAAATTCTGTGCAGCTGCTACTTAGATCTGATTTATTTACGAAATCAAGTTTAGTTCTTCTTCTTAGTTCTTTGATTTTTTATTTTATTTGGTCAGATATTCGATTTAGTTATTGTTCTTTTTTATGCGAGTTTTGTTCTATTTTACTATTTTATTTTTTTAAAGTGTAATGTCAACAGAAATCAGGTTTAGTTTTTCTTTATTTTTTATTTTGTTGTGTTTTATGTTATTATTATTATTATTATTATTATTAATTTTTAATGGCGTTTTAACAGCTAAGGTCATTTCACACCCTAACATCCAAACTTTCTATCTTAGTTTAGCTATATCCCTTCTGAGTGCTATAAAGCTCTGACTCCAAACATTCACTCATAAACTAACAATTTATCCCTTTGCCATCCAAAGCTTTAATTTATCCTTTTAAAATTCTTAATTTGGAACGCCAAATGTATGCAAAAATTCCATTTTAAATTACATATAAAATTTATTGCTGTTTTTTTATTAGAATTTTGAATTTTTGTTCCATAATTTAAACATTTCCCATAGGCTTGGATGGCTAATAATAATAATAATAATGGAGTCAGACTAGCAACAGTCTCAGCATGAGTAGAGGCTCATCCTTATCCTTTTATTCTTCCATTCAAATATGAATGGTAAACTAATATAAAATACGAAAATAAGAAACAAAAACACAATAACACTTCTTTACCTTTTTTTTTTTTTTTTTTTTTTTTTGAGGACCTAACTTTCTTATTTAAATTTTATGTTATTTTATTTTATCCTGTGTAATATTTGATTTATTTATGTTTTTTTAATCCCACATTTATTCTATTTTACTGTTTTGCTTTTTTAAAGAGTAATTTCAACAGAAATCAAGTTTAGGTTTTCCTTGATTTTTATTTTTATTACGCTTTATGTTATTTTATTTTATTCAAGCTGAAATTTGATTTATTTATTTTTCTTTTTTATCCAAGTTTTGGTATATATATATATAATTTTTTTTAAATTTCTTTTCGACCAAACTCTGGCTTGACTAGGCATATTAAAGTTAATAATGTTTGTACAGCTTATCTATTCATTTTATTAATTATAATAATAATTAGTAGTAGTGTGTGTAGACATCTAAGTTTTATTTATATTATGGAGATTGAATGTATTTATTAGCATAAATGTATCTTAAGTCTTAACTTAATCGACCTTGAATTAGATTAGTCAAATAGTATGCGTAAAAGACGGAGGAATATCGAGTATTCCACCAACTTAATTGAGTGAATGATATGTAAATAGGAAAGAATGTATTTAAGAATAAATGAGAGTTTAAGTTTTAAAACTGCTTGTGTTGGGGTTTTGACAACCCCAAGAGCTTTGGCAGAATGGATACAGCCAAGGTCTGACCTCATACTGCCAAAACTCAAAGTAGATGAAGTCAGAAGCTCAAATATGTACATATTTATATACTATTGACAATGTGCAGAATTGAGCCTGGCGGAAACAACAAGCATAATACACAACTTTTTACTATTTAATTGTTTTTTCAATTGTTAATTATATTTTTTTATTTGATTTCAGAGCAAAGAGGCTTGTACTACATGCCAAGTGTGTGGAGACTTCCGCCTGTTGCCGTGTAATGTGTGCAACGGAAGCAAGAAATCTGTCCATAGAAACCAATTCAGCACTGAACTTGTCTCATTGAGGTGCATGCATTGCGATGAAGCTGGTCTGGTCAAGTGTTACGCGTGCTAATGTCAATTAAAAAAAAAAAAGAAAGAAAAAACAGATTTGTTGGTGCTTATTTTTAATCATAGACGAAATTATTGAGAAAGGGTTTGGTCTAAATTGTTGAAACATTGTTATTTTTTTTTAAAAAGATCAGACAAAAAATAGATTTAATTTCTAACAAGAGTATTTTTCGATATAGAAAATATTTACAATTTTGCCAACATTTCAGGGTTAGTTGTTAACAGATGAAACAGACGAAATGGGCTCCATTATTTTTTTTATAGTCAATGTTTGTTGTTTTTGATGGCTTTGTAAATAGTGAGTAAAAGAGCCAAAAAAAGGTTCTCGTATTTTCTATAGTCAGCTTTTTTAAAACAATTGTGCTTTGTTAATTTGTCATAATGTATGTAAAATTAATATTATACTTGCTGTAAATTTAACAATAAAAATTTTAATTAAAATATTTTTGTGCGTTTAACACATCCTTTGTTTGTGCGGAGGCCTAAAAAGGTTTAGATTCTTAATCCTGGGTTTGGAAGTGCCAAAGCCTAAAAAAGCTTTGGAATCTGGTAAAAATCCTTAAGCTTAACGATGCTAGGTGATAATAGGGATTGCATGTACCAATATTGGTTGAGCCTCTCGACCGAAAAGTTAACTTATGAAAGTCCAAATGTCTCTTCATCGTGAAATTTTTTTTTTATCATAGACTGCCTTGTTTCAAATGAAAGGAGATGTTAATATGAATTTAGGTATATCTAGTACAAAACCAGTGGAAGAAAGTGACTAATGTTCTAAAACAAGGCATAGGTAGATCCAAAATCTTGTTTTAAAATTGAAAACATTGATAAATCAAAGTCTGTGGTTTGAAAACTCTTTCCAAAGTACCAGACAGTCAAAAAAGTGTAAAATTATTAGGTGTATTGTCTGACTGATTCAGATCGCTCAGAAGATACCAAACAAGAATATAAATCACTGTTCCACATTGACTACCATGACTTGTCCTTAAATACAGTGAAAACTGCCAGATAAAGCATATAGTTCAGGGCAATGGTCTGCAGAGAGAACTGCTTTTTAATTTAAAAAAAGAATGCAATAATTGTTCTAACTTATGGTGAGCAAACCCCCAAACCTAAGGACTCAATAGGCATCCCTGTTTGACCTAGCTGTTGGAGTACTACTTCTCAGAAATTCCATTTTGTCCTCTTAAGCTGCCATCGTTTGTTTATAAATAGATTTTAGTAAGGTAATGAATTTTGAGGATATTACCAAATTAAATATATTTACAAATAATGCCCTACGATTAACTCTATCAAAAGCCGCTGAGAAATCTACAAAAAAAAAAAATTTAAAAAAACTTTTTGACCTTTTGAAACAATTTTAGATGGATTATATTGGTTAGTTGTATAAATTATCCCAAGTGGAACATCCACGCTGAAAGCCACTCAAAAGGCAGTTGTCCGTTACAAAAGTTTCTAGTCATTTCCATTAATTTCAATATAATTTAAAATAAAAATAAAACTTATGTAGTAAATGTTAAATTAATTATTGATTCTTAACATCAACAAAGTTTGAGCCAACGAAATGTTTCAGCAGTGATCCTTATGTGATTTTGTTAGCTCAGGTGCACCCTTTACATTAAATTTTTTCGCCTGTTTCTATACATTATTTACCACCTTTATGTTATCATCAGTACCATTGTTTGTTTTTTTCCATAAGCCATCATGATTTTTTATCACTTTCTATATAAAATTTTTGATAGCTGTAAAAGTTTTATAAACTATAAATGATGTAAAATGTTGATGTAAATGAATAAACAAGGGTGTTTTTAATTTTTTAGAACCATGTCTGTTACTGCTTAGCTACTTTCTGACACCTAATGTGAGATTAGATCTTTCAAAGATCCCAAAAACATTTACACTCCGTTTTATTTATAGAAAATGGGCAAAAAACCCTGCTCAGTGAGGAGCAGAATCATTGTTGCATTTTCTGGTCAAGTTTCTCTGATGCAGTGCACACTTTGTAATCTATCGTCAATCCTTTTATCTTTCATATTATAAGGCACTAATCATTGCAGGCACTCACCCTGCCCCGATCAGCGCAGAGACAAATTCCTTGGCAGTCTTAGCAGTAACACTATGTAAATTTTTCCTTTCACTCTTGTATGCCACTATGTTCAATTAACAGACTCAAAATCACAGGTCATGGTTTTAATTTTCCCATAGTGATCACGGAATGCAGGGGGTGTATCAACTTGCCTTCTTTACTCAAAATTATTATTAAAAAGTGAAGATGGAGAGAAGCCAAAGTATCTGACAACTGAAAACTACGAGGATAATCAGACGCAAACTGTAAGAAGTCATGATAGCTCAAGTGGTTAGAGCAGCGGCATATTGAGCCGAAGGTCGTGAGTTCGCATCCTGATCGTGGCAGTAGCTTTTTCATCTCAACTGAGACCTTACATAAAAAGAATAACTAACCAAAATATAATAAGTCAATATGTATAAACGATAACAAATAAAAGTATTTATTATAAACCATAAATTAGATTTGATGAGTTTGCGTTGTCTACAAGCAAAGAAAAAGTGCTTCTTGAAATTTTTTTTTTCAAAACCTGCATGAATTTTGCACTAACCTAATAATAAATAGTGTAAGTGAATAATTTTAAATTAGTGATTACATTTTATGTCTTTTGATTAATTAATTAATGAAATTAAAATTAAAATAAACTTAATGAATAATACAATTAAATGATACAAAAATAAAATTAATTAATTTGATTATTATTTACGTCAAATTTGATTTTAATACAAAAAAAGTTAAACAGCAAAATCTCACTGGCACTCTCAACACGACACGCAAGAATGGCACAATTACACAGAAGATAAACACTTTGAGTGAGTACAAATACTTTGATTGAATATAAAAAATATATTTTGCATTGTATAAATTCACTTTTCCACATCCTAAATGTATTTGTTAAATGTAAACAATGTTTGTAAATCCCAGGCCATGAAATTATCTCAATAAAGATCGAAACGTTGGCACAATAAAGAAAATGTTTTTCTGAAACCTACATCACACCCGACCGCATCTCACGATTTCTGAATAATTATCGATTAACGGTCACTAATCGCCACACACTTAATAATATATTAATAAATGAATAATACAATTAAATGATACAAAAATAAAATTAATTTATGTCAAATTTTATTTAAATACATACTTAAAATAGAAGGTAATATATTATAATATATTAATATATTATATTATTATAACATATTATAACAAAATATATTATATTATTCATGCATTTATCTCCATGTTTAATTTTACATTTTTTCAAATTTCTCAAACCAATCTAGTGTCCTGTATTAACAATTCTTTAGAATTGATAAAACTTTTAAAGAACATAAATATACCTGACAAATGTGCTTTACTGTCATTTGATGTCAATAATTTATTGACAAATATCCCAGTTAAATAAAGTACAAAACTAATAAAGTTTGTACAGTTAATTAAAACAATTTAGGGGATGCTGTGACATATAATAGTGGAATTTAAAATCCTTGCATTAAATGAAATAATTTGGCTCTTAGCTATCTCTCCAAATTAAAAATTATATAAAACTAAATATAAAAACAAATGTGTGGTGTTTAGTGACCGTTAGTCAATAATAGTTATTATTAGTTATTCGGAGACCGTGGGATGCGATCTGGTGGACGTAGGTTTTAGAAAAACATTTTCTTTATCGCTCCAACGTTTCGACCTTTATTGAGATCATCTTCAGGGCCTGGGATTTATAAACATTGTTTAAATTTTACAAATACATGTAGGATGTGAGAAAAAATATGAAATATACTATGCTAGAAATTTTAGATTAAAAAAATAAAAAAATAAATAAAATGAATTTATACAATGCGAGAAAATTTTATTTTATTTTAGATTTAAAAAAAATACAATGCTAGAAAATTTTAGATTTTTTAGATTAAAAAAATGCATTTATACAATGCTAGAAAACTTTAAATTTAAAGAAATGTATTTATGTATGCTTGAAAATTTTAAATTTCTTGATTAAAAAAATGAATTGATACAATGCTAGAAAATTTCCGAATAAAAAATGATTTTATACAATGCTAGAAAATTGTGTTTTATTTTAGATTTAAAAAAAATTATACAATGCTAGAAAATTTTAGATTTCTTTGATTAAAAAATGAATTTATACAATGCTAGAAAATTTGTTTTATTTTAGATTTTAAAAAATTATACAATGCTAGAAAATGTTAGATTTCTTGGATTAAAAGAAAATTATACAATGCTAAAAAATTTTAGATTTCTTAGATTAAAAAAATGAATTTATACAATGCTAGAAATTTGTATTTTATTTTAGATTTAAAAAAATTATACAATGCTAGAAAATTGTATTTTATTTCAGATTTAAAAAAATTATACAATGCTAGAAAATTTTAAATTTCTTGATTAAAAAAATGAATTTATACAATGCTAGAATAGTTCAGAATAAAAAAATGATTTTATCCAATGCTAGAAAATTACGTTTTATTTTAGATTTAAAAAAATTATACAATGCTAGAAAATTTTAAATTTCTTGATTAAAAAATGATTTTATACAATGCTAGAAAATTGTATTTTATTTTAGATTTAAAAAAATTATACAATGCTAGAAAATTTTAGATTTCTTAGATTAAAAAAAAAATTATTCAATGCTAAAAATTTTTAGATTTCTTAGATTAAAAAATGAATTTATACAATGTAGAAAATTGTATTTTATTTTAGATTAAAAAATTATACAATGCTAGAAAATTTTAGATTTCTTTGATTAAAAAATGAATTTATACAATGCTAGAAAATTACGTTTTATTTTAGATTTAAAACAAATTATACAATGCTAGAAAATTTTAGATTTAAAAAAAAATATACAATGCTAAAACATGTTAGATTTCTTAGATTAAAAAAATGAATTTATACAATGCTAGAAAATTTTAGATTCAATCAAAGTATTTGTACTCACTCAAAGTGTTAGTTTTACTCATTTTCATTCTTGTCTGTCGTGTTGAGAGTGCCAGTGAGATATTGCTGTTTTATGTTTATATACGTTGAATTTTGATGGGGTGGGGAGGGAAGTCGACAATAAGAAAAAATGGGTAATGGTTCGGCCTGATTATCCTGTCAGGATTATATAGGCGGGGATAATTAGGAAAAGGAAAGTTGTTGAAGAATTAGACTATGTAGAAACGTTTGATGTGTGGAATGTGATGATTGTTTTATCTGTTGTATTATGTGTTATATGTATTATACACTCCATTAATTATGCTTTTTAGTGGTGCAATTGCTTTTTTAATTACTTTTCCAAAGACGAAGGAAAAGAAACAACTGAGGTTGAAGGATTGGTAAGCTGGAATGATTAATAATAATAAAAAAAA